TACCATGGCTTGGGTCAGGTGCACCTTAGTCCTCAAAGTGACATCTTTGCTTTTTAACACTTTAAAGAGGTCTTTTGCAGCAGATTTGCCCAGTGCAGTACATTGCTTGATTTCTTGTCTGCTGCTTCCATAGTCATTGTTGATACAAACCCATTGCCGTTGAGTCAATTCCGACTCATAGTGACCCAAGAAGAAGGAAATCCTTGACAACTTCAGTTTTTTTCACCCTTTATTATGATGTTTATTGGTCTAGTTGTGAGGATTTTCGTTTTCTTTATGTTCAGGTGTAAGGATAACACCTAAGCATATAATATAACGGCCAGAAACCTAATGAAGTAAGTTTTTCTCTCCTACCAATCCTAAGGTATATGAGGTTTTTTTTTTTTCCTCCTCTTCTATAAATGGTTAGCTTTGTTCATTATCCCAAATAGTTTTAAAAGTTGATATGATACATGCCCACTTTTGTAATCTACATGGACACACACTTACAGTTTATCCTTTTTACTTTATATAAACCTTTCAGTGCATCTGGTATTTTTCACTTTGAGTTGTTGAGTATTTCATTCTGTTAATGTCATTTGGCTCGGTTGGTCCTCCAGTGGTGATATTTTGTTATAAATGTCATTAAAGTGTGTGGCGGGAGCCACAGGTGGGATATTGTTAAGGAACTTGGGACTTTTTTGTGGTCCTTGTGGTAGTCTCATTTCAGGGAGTAGGTGTATATATCCCCAGGATCTAAAACACTAGTCCCAGTTGCTGTTCCCTCTCACTGTTCTCGGGCACTGACTGAAATGCTCATTCCCCTCTTTCTGTGTTAGGAGTTGTTTTTAGTTTTTCATTTGTTTTTATTATTATTATCTTTGAACTTTGGACTTTTGCTTCTGCAGTGCTTCCGCATTCTCATTCAAAAATCCGCTTCCTGCTGAGTCTGCGTATAGGAGACCAGAGTGCCTGAACTTCTAGCCCTACCCATGGAAACTCAGGCTGATCATGTATCTCAGGAACCTCAGGCCCTGCTTGAGAGTGGTGAGGAATAGGGATCCATTCATTCTTTTATTCAGTCATTCAGCAATCATTTATTGAACTCTTTTATTCACCAGATACTAGGTTAGGTGGTGCTAGAATACAGAGATGAGTAAGACATGGTACTTGCCATTGAGGAGCTCACAGCCTAGTGGGGGAGGCTGACAGAAACCAATAATTACTCTACTGCTTGACGGGTTTTATAACTGAGGCATTTTTTGAATGGCTGTGAATACTTTAGGCAAGATTAAGAAAACTGGCAATCACTGAATTCCATTTCTCAGACACCCTCTGACTGCAAACCTTATTTATAAACATAGCTTGTACTCTTAAGGAGCCTGGTCTTAGAGGAGACTCTTGGGAATTTGTATTTTGCTTTCATAGACTGTGCTACTGACTTTGGAGTCGGTTTCAGTCTTAATGGGTATTGTTCCCATGTTTATCAGGAAAAAGCAGTTTTGTCTATGATTCTACAGAATCTCTTACTTTTGGAGAGTCTAAGACACACTGCTGGGGGACAAATATGTAAACTTAAGAATTACAGAAAAGATGTGTGATCCAGCAGAGAAATGGGAAGCATTCATGCTTTATAGATTTGATCTGGGGATGGAGAAAGAGAAGGGCTGTGGATATTATATTCCCTGTCAGGGCTAGGGTGAAGCTACTAGTTTTCCTCTGGTCTAAGTTTGAATTCAGAGATGTAGAAGAATGATGGGAGGGACATGGACAGGATAGCCTGTTTCTGCCCATGCTTGGGAGGATGGACAACAGCGCACTAATCACTAAAGATAGCACTTGGCAAATTGCATCGAGAGTAGAGTGACTGGAGAGAAAGGACGGGACCTGGTGCAGACTGGGAAACCAAGAATTAACAGGACTTTTGGATGTCTCTCCTCAGGCAGGATGGACTTCTGTTGTAATCACCTTTAATAGCCACAGAGGAAGCTATCTTGAAATGTAAGAGGGAGTGGGTCCTAGGTTGTTACAGGACTCCATGAGTTTTCTGTGGATCTGGAAGTCAGCAGGTCAGGAGGCCAGAGAGCAGACTCACTTATGGGCCCTTTTATTGTCCATCAGCTCTTCCTTCTTCAAAAATTCCTGCCTTTTCTGATAAAGACAGCTTTGGGAATGAGATGTTGGCAGCTGCACTCCTAAAGGCCAAGTCCCGGGTGAGTTAAATGGCTCCCTTTATCCTTCCTTTCCTTCTCTTTTTGTGGAAATTTGTTGTGCAGCAACATCCTATTCAGTGCTGTAAACCATGATTTCCTCTATCAGGACCTTAGTCCTTTCCTGCTGACTAATGGAGCTTTACAGTGTCTTGGCCTCTGTCTTTCTGTACCCTCACCTCCTTTCCCCTAGTTTTCAAATATCCATCATTCAGTCCCATCCCAAACTATTTTTTTTGATGTTGCCGGTTCCATCCCTAACCTTGAAATTGCATGCAAGAACTTGTTGTTTCAGGAGTTGGTGACATTTGAGGATGTAGCTGTGTACTTTATCCGGAAGGAGTGGAAGCGTTTGGAACCTGCTCAGAGGGACCTCTATAGGGATGTGATGCTGGAGAATTATGGAAATGTCTTCTCACTGGGTAAGGAGTTAAGCTTTCGCCACAAAACTCCCTTGGAGTTTCTTTGTTTCCTTGTTTGCTAGTAACAATCCAGTCACTGAAAATGATAAACTAAGGTTTGACTTAGTGTAAGAAAATTCTAACAATAATAGTGGTAACTCACATTTGTAGAGTAATTTGCAGTTTATAAAGAGCTTTCATATACTCTCATTTACTCCTCACAGTAACAGCAATTGGGGTAGCTAGTATCATCCTCATTTTATGGATGAGGAAAGTGAAGTCAGATCTTAAGTGCTTTATGCGTGGTCATATAGCTGGTGAGTGGCAGAACTTGGGCTTTGGCCTTGTAACTCCAAATCTGGCACTTTTTCCGTGTTATTCTCAGGATTTAAAATGTAATCCCGAGACTTTTCCAAAGGATTAGCATATTGGTATTCCTGAACATATGAGGTACTGCTCTGTGCCCAAGTGAACATTCTGGGAGTCTTTACCTCCCTGCTTCTCTGTTGGATTACCTCTATGGACCTGTTGCTTTGTTCAGGACCTAGTGCAACTGCTGCTCTTGCAGAAATTTAAACTTGTTTTAAGTAGAAATTAGCTTCTTACCCTTTAGGATGTGGACTGTTAATTCTGTCTCTCACTCCACTTCAGCGAGAACATTTTCTTGAGCAGCTCCAGGGAGTCCTCCTAACTCTGATTTGAGACCTCCCTATATATTACCTTTCTGTTCCCTACGGATCCTGGGTCTGGGATTGAGCTCTGGGACTGCTCAGTATAAGCAGTATAAACCTCCTGTCCCGTGTCTTTCCCCATGAGCAGGATTCCCATTTCTGAATCCTGACATGATCTCTCAGCTGGAGTGAGAGGAAGAGCGGAGGGTCCTGGGTTTGAAGGGAACTGAGAACAGAGAGGTCCTGAGAGGTACCTGTTCAGGTGAGGGAGAAACAGCTATTTCTGTCCTTAACACTTGTTGCCCTGTCTTTACTTTTTAAAGTACTGATTAAACTAAAAACGCTGACTATCTGGAACCTTTACACTTATTCTCTGTGCCTGAAATTTCCCTGTAGCAACCCCAAGGTAATAAAAGTAGAGAAATCAAAGGTGAGATTGCTGTCCTCATCCATGTGAGCAGAGCCTTCTAGGCCTAGGACCCAGAGATGGACTAAACTGTCGTTTGTTGATTTCTGTGGACTTGGCATATGTGGCTGAGTACAAAGAGGATTTTTCTTTTTTCCTGGACTATAGGGATCACTAGTGTTCTCACCCTTGTTGTGCCTCTCTGTACTACTACTGTTTCTCATCACCGTTCCCTACTTTTCTTATCAACCGTCTATGTTTAGTTTCTTGTATTTGCTCTCCCATATCATTTTTAAACTGTTCTGGCAGTTACCATCTCCCCAAAATTATATCTGCACTCTGACCACCCTGAAGACTTTTTCACTTCATTAAGCAATATGTCCTCCTCTGCCTCTCTGCCTGATCCCTCTTCCCCTCCGTACATACTCAGCTTTCTCTATATTTTCTCTAGCTCTTTTCTCCTTGATTTTGCTTCCTGTTTTTTTCTTTCCCCGTTTCCTCAGCCTAGTTATCTTATTTTGCCTTAGCCATACACATACTGGTCAGGCCTCTTTGCTGGCATGTAAAGGCATGTGCAGTGAGCCCTGGTGGTACAGTGGTGAAACACCTGCCTGCTAACTGAAAGGTTGGTGGTTTGAACCCACCAGCCACTCTGCAAGAGAAAGATGTGGCAGTCTGCTTCTGTAAAGATTTACAGCCTCGGAAACCCTGTGGGGCAGTTCTACTCTGTCCTGTAGGGTCAGTATGAGCTGGAATCAACTCGATGGCAGTGGGTTTTATGTGTTTAAAGGCATGTGCTTTTAGCACTGTAAATATTAGTCACTTGATTATCTTGTCCTCTGGTTTTTATTCTTTTTTCCACAAGGAACAAGTGACATTTGCATTTTTTATTGTGCCAGATGGTGAGAATGATCAAGAAATTTCTGAAGATACAGGATCACATGGGGTGCTGTTGGGAAGATTCCAAAAGGGTATTTCTCAGGGTCTTAAGTTTGAAGAAGCCTATGAACAAGAAGTCGGTCTAAAGCGGCAGCTGGAGAACTCTGGAGAAAGACTGAATAGGAAGATAAAAGATTTTGGTCAAGTGACAGCTGAGGAAAAGCTGACCCCCATGAGAGATAGAAGTGAGAAATACAGTGATTTTGGGAATAGCTTTACTGTGAGTTCCAACCTTATTTCACATCAGAGACTTCCTATGGGAGACAGACCCCATAAGTGTGATGAATGTAGCAAGAGCTTTAATCGCACTTCAGACCTTATTCAACATCAGAGAATTCACACTGGGGAAAAACCCTATGAATGTAATGAATGTGGGAAGGCCTTCAGCCAGAGCTCACATCTTACTCAGCATCAGCGAATTCACACTGGTGAGAAACCTTATGAATGTAATGATTGTGGGAAGACCTTTAGTTGTAGCTCTGCTCTTATTCTACATCGAAGGATCCACACTGGGGAGAAACCTTATGAATGTAATGAATGTGGAAAAACCTTTAGTTGGAGTTCCACCCTTACTCATCATCAGAGAATCCACACTGGAGAGAAACCCTATGCTTGCAATGAATGTGGGAAGGCCTTCAGTAGGAGTTCTACCCTTATTCATCATCAGAGAATCCACACTGGAGAGAAACCTTATGAATGTAATGAGTGTGGGAAGGCCTTTAGCCAGAGCTCACACCTCTATCAGCACCAGAGAATCCACACTGGAGAGAAGCCCTACGAATGTATGGAATGTGGAGGAAAGTTTACTTATAGTTCAGGCCTTATTCAGCATCAAAGAATCCACACAGGGGAGAATCCCTATGAATGTAGTGAATGTGGGAAAGCCTTCAGGTATAGCTCAGCTCTTGTTCGCCATCAGAGAATTCACACTGGAGAGAAGCCTTTGAATGTAATGGGTATGAACAAAAGTTCTCCCAGAGTTACTGCTGAATTAAATATCAAAGAGTCTACGTGAAAGAGAGCCCACACCTGTTTGCCTCACTTCTGAATCTGAAGAGCTCCTGCCTTACTATATAAGTACAAACAGCTTAGGATATATCCCTTCCAACTCAGACCTTTCATTGTAGCAACTGGCACTTTGGGAAAATTAGCCAGCAGTGATTAGCAACCTAGTGAATTTCCCCAGAATGATACCAGCCTTAAAAAATTATGAGGCAGGCAGCAGACGAAGTGCTGGGAGTAGAGGGAAGCTCTGGAACTAATCACCCATTTTGGAAGGGAGTTTGCACTAAACCATTTTTCTTACACCAGAGGAGCCTTTCTTTCCAAGGTGAGCATGGAAGCACAGTAGGAAAAAAATTCCAAGGATTCCTCTAGTTGGAGTTAACAGCACAGAAGGCAGTGGAAAGAACGTTCTGAGTCCTGTTATTTGCTGGGGAGGAAATGGAAGCTGTATTTCAAAGCCACCGTTCCCAATCCAGCTTTAAGCTTTGATAAGGAATGTGCTATTTTGTTTCATAATTCTATTAATTATGAAAAATTGGCACTGAGATATGTATTTTATTGAGGGAAGGCAAAGACCCCTACAAAGGTATTCTGTGATATCTGTATCCTTTAGGGCCCCTGGAGCAGCTAGACCAAGTTTCTAACAGCAATCTTAGCCATATTGTGAGAGGACCCTTTGCCCTTCCCTGTTGTAATGTGACTGGGAAATCCAACTAATCATTGAGTCTAGCCTGAGAGTAGACTGTCAAAAGCAGTTAGCATTGGCCTCTGTATCCTTTCTTCCTCCCTTTTTTTCTCACCACGCCTGTGATGAACGTGATTTAATCCAAACCCCTAGTTTCTGAGGATGCTTTTAAGGAGCTTAAGTAGCCCTGCCCTCTGTCACGTGTGACATCTGGCCCCGGACCTCTCCTGACTCCACCTCTGACTCTTCAGCAGCCGAGGATTAATACACATAAAGAGTAAAGTCCCAGAGAAGGAAGGCTCTGGCCTAAGCCTGGCAGCAGGGCTCTTTGCTGGGTTAGAATGGAGCTCCCTGAGTTTTCCTGACTGAAGGGATGATCTTCCATTATGTTTTCCCAATCCTACTCATCCTGTAGTATAAATGAAGTGCACTATTAAACAGAATAGTTTTTCAGAAGGAGAGATTGAGTGTGTTTTTGTCCAGGGGCCAAGTTTATTTCAGTTAAAGCAGGAAACAGTGACTATTAATGGAATCTTAAAATTAACCTTAAAATTTTTTTTTATTGGCAACATTTCTTTTAGTCACAAACATGTGGCTTCCTTTTCCCTAAAGACTGCATCGTATTCCTCTAGATACTGCCACAGACTCTGTCAGTCATTTACACAGTCACTCTACAAAATCAATTTTGACCTCAACTACTCAGAGTAAAACCAGAGTTCACAGTTAAAGGGTACAGTCCCCCACAAGACTGCCCTTCAGACACCAGCCACAAGTTCAGGGGTTCCCAGGACACCCTTCCCATGGCTGCCTCCAGATTCAGGGGTTCTCAGTACCCACTCAGGTTTGATGATTTGCTAGAATGACTCATACAACCAGGAAAGCGCTATACTTTTATAGTCTTAAAGCAAAAAGACACAAAAAGAGCCAACCAAAGGGAAGAGACACAGGGTGAGAGGAGGTTCTAAACAGCTTCCTTGTCCTCTCCCCATGGAGTCAGAACACATCAACCTCTTGGCACATCAGTGTACAAAGAACATCATCAGTCTTACCCAAGCTTTGGTGTCCAGAGTTTTTATTGGGATTTTCATTATGAGGGCATGGTGGATTGAATCATTGGCCACATTATGGAACTCAAAATCTCCCCTTCCCCAGAGGTTGGGCTAATACGTGACGGTGGGTCCTTCTGGTGTGGCTGACCCCCACCTTGGGCCATCTCATCAGCGTAAACTATCACTGTGGTCCAGGATTGTCCGTAAATAATAAACACTGCAGTTACTTGGGAAATTCCAAGGGTTTAGAGGGTTCTCCCAGGAACCAGGGACAAAGGCCAAATTCTTTGGGTAAGTTAATTCTTCACTCCCTACACTCCTGTCTCTATACCCATTTTTGGGCTTTGTGAACTACATGTCATTCTGTGTAGTACAATACTTCAGACCAACACCTAAAACTAGGAAGGTGTTACTGGGCATGTGATTGCTGACAGAGTACTTGGTTGTTGGGTAGCAACGGGCGTATTTAGACTTCCTGATTTGGTTGGTAGGAGGATGTTACAGCCACGGAGAAGGCTAGGGTGAAAGTGTAATGGAGATGAGACAAGGTCTGGAACTCTGGCCTCTGACATTGTGATTGACCACCTAATATATGTTTTAATTTCTTAAAGCTATAATGAAGTCAGTCATTTTGGCTTTTCATCGACATTCAGTACATACTTGCAGATTGACTTTCTCAAAGTGTGGACCATGAACGGCCCATGTTAGAATCACTGGGCTGCTTATTGGAGTCCCTGAGTGGTGCAGATGGTTAACTGAAAGGTTGGTTTGAGTCCACCCAGAGCCACCTCGGAAGAAAGGCCTGGCAGACTGCTTCCCCAAAATCAGCTATTGAAAACCCACTGGAGAACAGTTATGTGATACACATGGGGTCGCCATGAGTCAGGATCAACTCAGCGGCAATTTTTTTAATTTTTTTAGGCTGCTTATAAGTAATGCAGTTTTCTGAGCCCCAAACCAGACCTAGAAAATAATTTCTGGAGATAGAGTCTAAGAATTTACATTGGGAAGGAAGAAATAGGATAGTTACAGAAAATTTCTATGAGGAGGTAAAGTTGAACTAGGTCTTAGAAGATAAAGAGATGGGGGTTCCTGGCAGGACAGTTTGAATGGACCTGAGCATGGCCGCTTAGGTGGAAGCTGAGGAAAAGACTACTAGACAGGTAAAACGTACATGATGAATGTTCACTAAATGTAGAGGATCATCCCCTTCTCTGCTCTGATGCTTAAGTCAGTACTGGACAGACTGTGAAGCCTCCACTGAAAAGACAAAATGCAGCCTGAGACTGATCAGGTCCATTGCATGAAAAATAAGAGGTTTCTTTTTGTTTTTTAAATAACTTTGAAACTACTTCTATGACATTTTACTCACCTGATTCTCCTAGCTGACCATTCCCATTTCCCATAATGATTCCCCTTCTCTCAATCTATGCATTGTTGCTCCGTCATGGTGTCAAGTTTCTGTCTCCTCTTTCTATACCATTATCATTGGAACCCATTTACTTCCATGGCTTCAGCTATCACCTCTGTGCAAGTAAGTTAAATCTGCATTTGTGGTACAGATCTTTCCCAAGCTCCAATCTTGAGTCTCCAGCAGACTGCATTTACAGTTAGACTTTAAAATTATGTGTTTAAAATCAGATTCATCTCTCCCATAAGCTGTCTCCCTCTCAAAATTTCTACAAACCTCTCAGGCTCAAAACTTAAGTTTTCTTTGTTGTCATCCTCCTACATTTAACCATCCATCAGGTTCTGGGCAGGATCAGTAAACGTAGTGGAATGACAAGAGATGGTTGTCAGAGGGGAAGTTTTCAGAGTTTGACGTTATGGGGGAGGTGGGAGGTCCCAGTGTAGATACTAATTAATAGTAGGTAACATGTCATATGCTATGTGCTAGCCTTGCCAGGCCCTGTTCCAATTTGCTCATAACAATCTACCTATAAAGTGTTGGTATTATCCCCGTTTTAGAGATGAGGAAACAGCATTGAACTTGCCCAAAGGATTTGACAATGGAAGACCTCCCCAGGATGCTGCACTTGGTGGAAGGCTGCATGATGTAGCCTTCAGGTGGAGATGGGGAGGTATGTGTGAAGAGTAAATTTCAACCAGGAGGTTGTCTTGTCAGTTACGATTCTGCAGTGTTCATAGCTCTTCTTCCTTTTCATTTCCATTGCTGCTAACCCGATAATTCTGGTCTTTATTACATCTCCCTTGGATTATATAGTCTCCTAAAGGTTTAACGTTGTTTCCTCTCAAATTAATCTCCCTAACACACTATACCAATCTTGTCATTCCTTTATCAAAAAGTTTCAGGGGCTTCTCACGTCTTTTTTTTTTTTGATTAGCTAAGGTCTATATTTTATTTCTTAGTTTTTACCTAGTGTCCTTTTCCTGTTCCAGGATCCCATCCAGGATACTACATTACATTTAGTCATCACATCTTTTTTTAATTTTTTTTTTTTTAACATTGTTATGAGACCCCAGCCGCTCACCCCATTCTGCGACAGCACACTCCTCCCCTCTGCCCGATTCACCGTGAACATTCAACCAGCTCCTAATTGTCTCTGCCTTCCCCTGGCTTCTCACTTCATACAGAATAAAATTATAACTCCTTAGCCTTATAGTCAAGGCTGTCCATGAGCTGGTCTCTACACACCTCTTACTGCTTCTCTCCAAACATCAAATAAATAGCAAAATAAACAAGGCCCCATACACTATATTCATGTCCATGAATTTGTTCACAATGTTCCCATGTCCTGCTCCAGCTCCTCGCATCTGATCAGTAAAAATTAGAGTTAAAGGGTACCTTAGAAACCATCTTATTCAACCTCCCAGTCAGTGTAGAAACTTTCAACAGTTTCCCTGACAGATGACTATCCATTCTCTACTATGTCTTCAGGGATGAGAGTCTTGTTGCACAGGGCAAGAACAGGTTATTCCATTGCTGAGCATTCTAACTGCTGGAAATTAAGTTGAGCTGAATTTATGCCTCCTTGTAAGTCCCACCATTAGCTTCTGGTTTTGTCTTCTCAAACGACACAATGTAATCATCTATAAAACGAGAGGAGTGGACATAATTTCTAAGAATTTTTAATTTTATTTTTAATAAAAACAATTCATTCCTAACACCTCCCCTCTCTACTCCCCAGCTCAAATGATTCTGAGGAAGGATATAATGTGGTGACTTTTTAACTAACAGAGAAACCTTTTTTTTAACCTGAACATTTCAGGTGACAGAAGTATCAATAATGGAGTGGCGGCAGTGAAGAGAACCTATCGATGAATTGTTTCTTCTTAATGAAAAGATTGTTTTTAAAAGCTCCCCAAAGATATATTATTTTCTTCATAAATTGTTTATAAAGAGTTTAAATTTTTTATACTTCAAACAAATTAAGGCAAGCCTGTCAGGTGCATCACTTTAAATATGTCTGTAATGAAGAACTGAAGATTTGGAAATGAGTAAGAAACTACATGGATGATTTTCTACATACAGAGATAAATATGGCCATCAGAATGGTTGTTTCAGGAATGACAGAAAGTCTTGCTGTCTTCCTCCATAAGCATGTTTTTCCATTTATGTTCCCTGCTTTGGTTGCTGACATCACCAACTTCCCAGGCAGCCAAGCCAGAAACCTGGGAATTGTTCTGGATGCCTTGTTTCTCTTCAACTTCTCACTCCTATAGCTTTTCAATGTCTCTAACCTGTCCTTTCTTCCCCATCCCTGTGACTACTGCAATGGCCTAGGCCATCTTTAAGTCTTTCCTGGACTTTGGAACCAGCCTCACAGTAGTCTCTTAGCTTCCAATTCCTTTACCCTCCAATTCAGCCTTCAAACCTATGCATGAATTCTCTCTCTAAAATGCCAATTGGATTACCAAAAATAACCCATTGCCGTCAAGTCCATTCCAACTGATAGTGACCCTATAGAACAGAGTAGAGCTGCCCCATAGGGTTTCCAAGGAATGGCTGGTAATTCAAACTGCCAAACGTCTGGTTAGCAGCCAAACTCTTAATCACTGCGCCACAAGGGCTCCAATTGGATTACACCACCTCTCAAAACCTTTTAGTGACTCCTCATCTCCTAGTCCAAATTCTATATCATGACACACAGGGCTTTTCATTTACCTCTTAGCACTCCTCTTACCCCGACTCTCACCCTTTTTCCCTCCCAAATACTTTATACTGGAGCAATGCAAAACTACTACAGTCACATGGACATCAATGCTGTTTAATGTCTCTGTGCCCTTGCAAATGCAGTTCCTGAATGCCCTCCCATCCTTGTCCACCTAGCAAACTCCTGTTCATCTCTGAAACCTCATCATCAGCTTCACCTTCTCTGTGAAGCCTTTTCAGGTCATTGTGCATGCCACCCTCCATCCCCACCAAGTTAATTTTCTCCGAGCTGCCTCTGCATCTTGCAGATACGCTCATTATTGTGCTTATCCCCCCATCCATTACTTACTATTTGTTTATACATCTGACTCCCTCACTATGGTGTTTTTTCATTTTTACGTTCCTATACTTTTCTACCACAAATATGTGTTGCTTTCATAATCAGAAAAAAAATCATTAAGAAAACAAAGGTAATACGAAGTAACATCCATTGAGCACTTTCTGTGTCAGGCATTATTCTAAGTGCTTTATCAATTCCATATTGTTGCCCCTTTGTCCAGGAAAGAAGAAAGGAAGGGGGAATGGGGAGGGGAGTTTACAAGGTGCACAGTAAATGGTGGCAGTGAAGTTAAATGAGTTTGGAGTCTAAAGCCCTAGTTTTGTCTACCATACCACATTACCAGAGGGTATCCCAAACTCCTTCAGACACATCCTCTCCTCTCACTGATTCTTTAATGTCTTCAGCAGCAATTCAGCAAGTAAATAAATGCTTGTACTGTAGGAGATACAAAGATGGATGAACTATGGTTCCTGCACTGAAGGAAACTCCAGTCTAAAGAGAGACAAAGCCAGTATTGATAATACAAGACAATGAGATGCCAGGAAAGGTACAACAATCATAATGATAGCTGATGTTCACAGACTGCTTACCTATGTGCCAGGCAGTGTTCTAAGTACTATATACGCATTAACTTGTTTTTACAACAATCACATATGGTAAGTGTTCATACTATTACTAACCCTGTTTTATAGGTGAAAAAACTGAGTCACAGAGAGGTTAAGTAACTTGCCCAATGTTACAGAGCTAGTAAGTAGTAGAACAGGGATTCAGACCTACGCAGTCTGGTTCCAGAGTTTGAACTCTTCATCACTCCACTGTACTGCCTTTCTACAAATACAATGGAGGAATTAAGAAGAAAGCAAGCTTATGTTCTTCTTGGGAGGGGCAAGGCACACGGTGATCACAAAAGGCTTTATTGAGGAAATCACGTTAAAGCTAAATTAAGAACATGGATAGGTAGAATACAAAGTCATGGGTGGGAATCTTCCTCTGGACTGACAAAAGATAGGTGCAGAAATAGGTATTCAGTTTCACTCAGGAAAATAAATATGAAATACATATTAGATGCCAGACATTGTGTCAGGGAAAGGCAGGCAATGGCTAAAAGCAGGTGAGGGAAAGAAGAGCAGATCTTGGAGGGCGGTGAATGTCTTTGTGAGTCTTCTAGGAGCTGAGGTGAAAGCTTTCAAGCCATGAATAAAAAGGAAACCTGTGTGTAAGACATGTTAGCAACAGAAAACCCAGCGAAGGATCTATTGTGGGTGAGTTATGAAGCCATAAGGGACTAGACCAGGGTGAAGGCAGTGAGAATGGAGAAGAAAGAATGAATCCAGGAGACTTCAGGGAATTGAAATTGCCTCTGAATCAAGAGAAGCATCAACAGATGAATAAGGAGGAGGACCTGGCGACAATTCCATTGTGAGTGGGTGACTCCCTTCTGTTCTTACAGTTTCTATCCAAACTGTGACGTATAATAAGGATATGCAAGATGGCAAATAATCAGTACCCTAGTTTGGATGAGGTAGAGTAATTAGAATATAATTTAAGATATTATCCATCAACTTTTATAAATGATTAATAGTTTGGCTGCTGTAACAGAGACCCAAAATAACACTGACTTAAACTTTAAGACAGAAGTGTATTTTTCTTTCAGGTAAGTGTATTTCTCAATCTTGAGGAAAATAGTTCAGGATTGATATGGTGGTTCTGTGCCATGAGCATCGTGCCAGGGACCTTCCGTCTTATTGACCACCATTCCTATGGTGTTGCCTTGTCCACATGGTCCAAGATAGTTTATTCCCATATCCACAGTCCATACAACAGGATTGAGAAAGCAAGGAAGAAGGGTATGTTCCCTCCCTCTTTAAGGGCACAATGCAGAAATTACAACTATCACTCACCATTGTCCAGAACTTAGTCACATGACCATCCTACTTACAAGGGAGCCTGGGGAATAGTCTTCATTCTGGGCCAAGATCAAGGACTCGTATGCTATGTGAGAGAAAGGGAAGAATGGATATTACAGGAAAATGAGCAGCCTCTGCCACATAGGCTGGAGCTTTTCTCAGGATGAACCCTAGGTATCTGTGCTGCTCAGATCTGACAACACTGGTGTATGAAGTTGTGAATTCAGTTCACTCAGTACTTAGCATTTACTGGGTGCCAGGCTCAGTGCAAGACTTAGGAATCAATTATGAATCAGATGTAGTCCCTGCCATCCAGGAGCATATGCTGTAGTAGGGGAGAGTTTCATAAACACAAGTTTTCAATGATGGTAGGAAGTATAATAAGGATATGCAAACAGAGAGACACCTAACCCAGCTTAGGAGTTTAGGGAGTAGATCAGAGCTTGTCTTAGCCTGTATTCTCTACGGAAGCAAAACCAGTGAAGTGTGTGTGTGTGTGTATATATATATAGAGAGAGAGAGAAAGAGAGAGAGATTGATTTATGTCAAGGAAATGGCTCATGTAGTTGTAGAGGCTGGCAAGTCCAAAGTCCATGGGTCAGGCATCAGGCTAAAGGCTTCTCCTGACTCAGGGAGCTGCTGGAACTGATAAATCCAAGATCGGCAGGTAAGACAGCAGGTTGCTGGTTCACAGGTTGTGAAGGCTGATGAATCTCAAGATTGGCAGGTAATAAGGCAAGCTGCTGGCTTAAGTCCCAAGAACCAGAATCCAGAGTAAGCAAAATTCAGCAAGCTTTGCCAGAATGTCTATATATATTTAATGTAGGCCACACCCCCAAGGAAACTCCCCTTACAACTGATTGGCTGCTCATAGCAGATCTCATCATGGAGGTGATTATATCAAATCTCATCATGGAGGTGATGACATTATGGAAGAGTAATCAGTCCACCTGTCTGCCAAATTACATCATTACATACCTGCCAAACCACTAAGAATCATGGCCCAGTCAAGTTGACACATAACCTTAACCATTACAGAGCTTTACCAAGTGAAGAAATTCAGGACTTAAAAAAAAAAAAAAAAAAAGCCAAGACTTTTTAAAATGGACTTTAAACTCTTTGAAGGAACTGTATCTTGTTCACTATTACATATGCTGTGCCTAGCATACTGCCTGATAGGAAGCATTTAATAAACATTGGCTGGATGTTGAATGAACATAGAAATAGCTCAGAGGAAAGGACAGGGCTGTGTCCAGGAAATGGGGATTTTAGTTTGGAAGAAATTGTGTGGACAAAACCAGGTGAGTTGTGTTGGAGGGTTGGGTTTCTGAAACAGCTGGACCAAAGAGAAAGACCCCACACACATGCTTCCTGAGAATTACAGCAGAAAGTGCCATCAGGGTTCACATTACAGAAGCCAACTTTAGGTGAAGCTGTTCCTGAATCTACCAGATGGTTTGAACTGTGATTCTCTTGCATTATAGTCTAAACTTTGCACACTGTGCTGAAAAGAACCTGGTAGGTAAAAACTATACAGAAAGGGCTAGGGCTCAAGGAGAATGACATTTGGAATTCAGTCCAAGTGAATTCAGTGCATTTCAGCAAGTACTTCTGAGCTGTAAGCATGCAGGATACAGGAGTAAAGAGACCATCCCTGCATTTCAGAGCTTACTTTAAAGAACTTTTTCATAGAAGAAACTGAATGGCACAAAGGACAATGTCTTCAGCAATTGTTTTTCATCAAACTTAGACACCATATAGCAGTTTCTAGTTTTCAATCTTTGATAAAATGCCAAGAATATAAAGGATGACTCCATCAAGGTGTTTTTGAAGGGGCTAAGCTAATGAGATTCAGGTGCATTGCTTTCTGGAGGTCTAACTTAAAGACACAACTTTCAGGGTCTGAAGCAGTGGAGACAAGTGTGTACACACACCCACAGAGTCATATAATCTGTATACACAGATAACTACACAGGTACAAATGCACACTGTTAGTTTCCTAGGACTGCCGAGAAACAAACTGGGTGGCTTATGAGAACAGAAACTTATTGTCTCACATTTCTGGAGGCTAGAAATCCAAATCAATGAGTTAGCCAGGCCATGGTCCCTCCGAAGTCTCTAAAGGAAGATCCTTTTTGTTCCTCCCAGCTTCCTGTAGCCCAGGTGTACCTTGGCTTGTAGACTCATCTTCACATGGCCATCTTCCTGTTTCTCTGTGTTTTTTTTTTTCTCTCTTTTTTAAGGACACCACTCAAATTGGACTAGGATGCACTCTACTCCAGTATGACCTCATGTTAACTGATAACATCTTCAAAGACCCTTTTTCCAAACAAGGTCATATTCACAGGTACCAGGAGTTAGGAATTCAACATATCTTTCAGGGGAGACACAATTTAATCCATAACACATACACTCACATGGATACATAAAATCATTTGATTGAAAAAATGTTTACGGAGCAGGGCATAGCCCTGTGATGGGGGCTAAAGTTAAAAGATGAGTAACACATTGATTCCTGTTCTCAAGGATATCGATCTTTGTGTGTTCCATTTCATTTTTGATGACTTCCAGTTTTCCTAGACTCTAACTTCATACATTTCACATTCTGATTATTAATGGATGTTTGCAGCTGCTTCTTATTTTGAGTTGTGCCACATCAACAAATGTAGGCCCCCAAAACTTTACTCCATCAACATCATTAAGGTCGACTCTACTCTGAGGAAGCAGCTCTTCCCTAGTCCTATTTTGAGTGCCTTCCAACCTGAAGGGCTCATCTTCTGGCACTATAGTAGACTAATGTTTCACTGCTAATAAGGTTTTTCACTGGCCAATTTTTTTTTTAGTAGATCACCAGGTCCTTCTACCTAGTCTGTCTTAGTCTGGAAGCTCTGCTGAACCCTGTCCACCAAGGGTGACCCTGCTGGTATTTGAAATACCGGTGGCATCGCTTCCAGCATCATAGCAATACGCAAGCCACCACAGTACAACAAACTGACAGACGAATGGTGGTCTACAGAAATACTTTCACAGAAACACCTAGTGTTTGATTAAATGACTGGATGCTATAGCCTAGCCAAGAGGTCACATAAAAACTAACCATCACTCAGACTTCCCCATTTATTACAAGTTCCACTGAAGAGCCCCATAAAAATTGAGACCTAGTTGCTATAGAAGCATCCAGCTCAATAATGCAGCTTCTTGGCTTTTTCTCCTCCCCGCCCTGATCCCTCACTCTTGCTTCCTGGGATTGCATTCCTGAATAAACTATCTGCTCTCAAGCCCTTGTCCCAGGCTCTGCTTTAGGGGAAACCCGAACTATGACAGTTGGTATTAGAAGTGGCCCTAGAAAGTAGAGCCTAGAAAGCAGAACATCAGATGGAATTTTGGAACCATTTCACTCATTGGTCAGATGGTAAAAAAGGAGCCTGGTAAGAAGTCTGGTGGTCATAATCCCTGGCATGTTATAGCAAGGGAACTATTAAGATTCTCACTAGTGGTGGCAAGGGATGTGGTACATGCAGAACGGGAATCATTAGCTTATGCAGTAGATCTATAACCTGAACATTATTAGAGCAGTGGTAATTATAAGAACTGTGGAGTTTCTCTCAGAAGTTTCGAAGAAAAAGAATGATAGGCTCAGGTCAGCCAACTATCAATTCAGGGCATGTGAAAGCCAGAAGTCCTCCACAGCAGTGTTTAAAGAGATCTTCATCTTCTGCAGCAGAGAGCAGACTGAGTTGAAAATCAGACCCAGAATTTAATTGTAAGGGTGGCAGAACTGCAAAGGTGGATAAATACAAAGCCTCACCAAGTCATTTATGCAAAAATTCAGGATCCTAATTGGGAAAGACTGAGATCCTGATATATGGGACATTTGCGTAGGTGTACTTGAGAACCTTGGGTTCCAAGTGCCCCTGAACCCTCTGGCCTAGCAAAAGCATCCCCCTCCCTCTTCCTAGAGGAGAGTTGCCTCTTTTTGCTTAGAGACCATGCAAATATCCTACTTGAGGTAGATGACCCTCAAAATAATGCTTGTCCACCTCAAGATCTGTCCCCACCTCCCCTCAATACATAGAAACCAATTAACTGAGGTCAAGTCTCAGTATGGCTTCATTGCGAAAATATTGTCACTTCTCCGAAAGAAAATGGCTTACTCACTGGAAGTGTTGCAGAACTTGGCTAAAGTTACTGGCAGGAACTAAAGAACATATGTGGGGGTGGATCTAGAGGTACAGGACTTGGAAGGGGGTACAGTGGTGGTAGTGTGCTAAATATAAAGCTGGGACTGGCGGAGAGAGTTGACATGGGAGCATTCTCCCATGCCTCAGGATTTAATGACCTGGCAAAGAACCTGGAGACAGTCTGTGGCAGGGAGGGCCTCCAAATACGTCAACATCCTAATTCCCAGAGGAAACTGAATATATTAGGTTACATGACAAAGAGAAATCAAGGTTGTAGATGAAATTAAGGCTGTTAAACAGCTGACCTTAAAATAGATTATCTTGGATTATCCAGGTGGTCCAATATAATCACAAAACCAGAAAATCAAACCCACTACCATCAAGTTGATTCCAACTCATAGTGACCCTGCAGGACAGAGTAGAACTGCCCCATAAGGTTTCTAAGGCTGTATATCTTTATGGAAGCAGACTGCCACATCTTTCTCCCAAGGATACAATCACAAGGGTCCTTAAAATGTGGAAGAGGGAAGCAGAACAGAGTCAGAGGAAAATGTTATTATGTAAGAATGGTCAGAGATATGCAACATTGCCAGCTTTGAAGACATAGGAATTGGGCCATAAGCCAAGGAATGTGGGCAGCCTCTAAAATGTAGAAGAGGCAAGGAAACAGATTCTCTTCAAGAGCCTCCAAAAAGGAATGCAGCCCTGCCACCACCTTGATTTTTGCCCAGTGAGGCCTATGCCAAAATTCTAACCTACAGAACTGTAAGGCAATATATTTTCACTATTTTAAGCCTCCAAGTTTGTGGTAAATTGTCACAGCAACAATAGAAAACTAATACACTTCTAGGATGGCTCATTAAAACTTGGACATTAATGATGGCCTATAGTAAATGAAGATGCTGGAATCATTTAGCAGAGTATTGGGAAAGGGGTCAGCTGTTGATCATGAGTATTATCAGATCCACCAAGTCATTAGGTTGAGTGGACACAACAACAATCCACCACCTCTACTTCTATGGAGGCCCAGGCACAAGCAGGACCAGAAGTAACAAGCAGGAGGCCTAGACCCCTATGTCACCTACCTTTGTTGCACTGATGCCTCTCCCTCTGCTCACATCTATGGATTCATGGAAGGTTCCCTCTGACCAGTTGATAAAGGAAAAAACAACTAAGGTCTGTTGTCATTCAGTTCGATGTTGGTGTGAGCCAAAAATGCATTGTTTCACTATGGCCCTACTTAGCAGTGGCCCTAAAGGCAGGTGTGAAGGGAAATCCAATGGACAGAGCTGCAAGCAGTGTATTTGGTCACCAACTTTGTATGGAGGCAGAAGTGGCCTGAGATACAGATTTCATGGACTGGGCAGTGGCAGGAGC